TGTTATTAGCATAACAATTTGAGTGAAAAGCAGAATCTTTGAAATACATGAATTTCAGGATGTATTTGGTACTGTATGTCTCCCTTCTGCTTTAATGGTAGTGTGCTCTTGAGCTGGCATAGGCTTCAAGTTTGTGCAAAGGCCTCTGATGAGCAGATCAAATCCACCCTAGAGTTGACTTAACATAAGCTTCAGTGAACAAGGAAACACTGTCTTTTTCACCACCTGCAGAGATGTCATGAAAATGTCTTCGAGTATCATGATCCATTGCCATATAGCCCACCCTTAGTGCACCCTACACCCTGCTAACTGAAGCAGCGTGTTTTGTACAAAGGCCTCATCATGGTCAATGTCATAAATTTGCTTAAATTACAATTTTTATTAAAAAAAAATAATCTAGAAATTATGGAGAATTTGGGATGTTTCTTCTTCATTGCATTAGTTCTAACATTTTGTAAGGTTTTTTTTTTCAAAATTCAAACATGTTCTATTCTGTCTATAAAAAACATCCTGATTGTCAACGCACTCTCAGACATATAAACACTACTGTACAAAAGTAAAATCTCAACTCCTGAGTAGTTTTAAAAGACAATCACTTTACTTCCACGGAAGTATATTTGTGAGGAAAGTAATCTGCATTTTCTCTTTTACTTTTTAACATTTAGTTACTAAATATTATTTTATTTATTTATTGATTGATTTGTTTATTTGTTTATTTATGTAGATTTATTTTCAGCATCTGGACTGCACTTTTCTTGGCCACAGCTGTCACTCTGAAGGTGCATTGTTTTATTTTAGAGCAAATGTGTGTCAAAAAGAGAAGAATAACATCTCACAGACTTCAGTTTCTGTGTTGATAAATGCTGGGTGTATTAAGAAGTTTGGCTCGAGTTCTAAGCTCAGTTTTTTGAGCTACCTTCACCAAAGTAACAGTAGTTTACTTCACCTGAGGCTACTCTGACAACAGCACATGCAGTTCTAGCAATTCTAACATAAAGGAGTTAACTTTCTGCTTTTAGATATTTAAGTAGTTTTTGAATCTGACCACACTAACACCACATTTTCATTCTTCACAGCATTTCAAGGTTCTTCTGACAGAACATTGATGATTTATTTGCTAATTCTTTGTTGCTTTAGGTAAATGTAGCTTTTAACTTTGCTTCACACTACTCAAGTATGTGAGAAGGGTACCTGTAATTATTATTTTTATTATAAAAGATCTTTTTTGCCTCAGTATGACCAATTTTCATTATTTCCTTTTATGCCATTTTAAACACACTCTTTCTCAGAAAAAAATAAACTCAAATACCCGTTCATATGCATGCCTCTGGGCTTCTACCTCACATATAGAGAGAAAGCCAAAGTCTCCAGAGATGGTCCAGTGATAGTAGAGAGTCCAATTTAAACAGTGCCTCATGGTCATTGAAAGATATCTGCCAGCCTCCTCAGTGAGTTCTAATAACTTTGGCATTTCCTATTCTCCTGGCTCATAAAAATGCTGATGACTCCATGCAGGGTGCGACTGCATCGTTTTGGATGGAGCCTATAAATGGCTGTGGCAGTTTGAGGCGATTGGGTGGGCAGGGAACGGGGAAGGGCTCCTTAATGGACAAAATAAATGGCCACTCAGGCGGCTGTACAAACACCATTTGTCCTCTCCCGAAATCCCTCCTGACACTCAGTCTTTCCCTGAACTAATGTTCCCTTCTGAAGCCAGCAGCTCTGTAGATTTATGGACCCGAGTGTCCATATCAACACCTCATAACTGTAGGTGGCGCCATATGAGGACACCTCTGCAATTTATGCTTAACTCATGTTTTGTGGCTGATGAGCTATGAAAAAAGTGTCCTACAGAGGAAGAACCTGTCAAACTGCCTAATGTTCCCTAAATTATTGACATTTTTATCAGCCTAATGGCTTTTTTGGTTCAAATGTCTACACAAAACAAATCTTCAGAAAGGTTTTTGGAGTTGAGATATGGTTGGGAAGCTAACAGAAGATTCTCTGTTTATTTACAAATTTATTTATACCACAAAAGAACATCTAAAAAGAATGAAGTTTTCACTTTCAACACTAAACAATCACTCTCTTTTCACTTTGCTCAATACTGATTGCTCAAAATGACATGTCCGATTTGATTCCCAGACTCGTGGTGTAATAAACATATTTGTTATGACTAAAATCTTAAATGAAATGACAACTACCACATAAAAGAGAGTGATAAGAATAAGGATGGGCAACTTTAGCTCATCCTTTGCTCGCCTTCTTGTCTCCACACTTCTCCTCCCTCCCTTTTCCTCCTCTTTTAAGTCCCCCACCCGTTTTTCCGCTACGTTTGGGGTCTGAATGCATTGCCTGTTATCTCATCCTGCCAGTTCTGCCTGTCTTTAGATTACTTTTGCTAAACACATTACTGCATTCTGTATACCTGGACTTACAGACATTTACTCAGACTATTCTACGTGGGACAGTTTTGAGATGTATTGTCTCATAAAGAGTACTTCATAGAAGGCATGTCAGCAGAGTACTTCATATGGAGGTGCAGTACAGGTCAGTAGTGTGGATACATCTGTACCTCAAAATGTTAACTTTACAGGTAATGTGTGTTAGTGTAACAAGACTTCATTCCAAGTAATTGTATTAGCACCAATTTTATTATTCTATTCATGATGAAATGTTCACACAATGCAAACAGCAGCTGTTTTCAAATTATGTGTAAAAAAAGGTCCATCTTCATGGGGCATTGGATTGGGTTAGGAATATTACAGTTTGTTCCCACCATAATAATTCTATGTTCTCACCCACAATTAGACTACAATTTCTCACAGTTCTCTCCAGATATTCGTGATACAAGCTCAAGTCTGGTGTTGTGAGACTATTGGCTCACTTTAGTAACTCAAGCAAACTGACTTAGTGTATTATAAGCTCCTATATACATTATCCTACTGCTACAGCTTATCGGACATATTTAGATATAGCGATTCAAATATTTCAGTCTTAAGTTCATTATTGTTAAACAGAGCTCATATATACACTCTATATGATTTTTGTCATTTTTTTATTTTTCCATATCATATTTGAGCACAGCAGCTGCTCTTTACATTGTTTGAAAATATCGGTAAAAGGACCAATGAAAATACTTTAAAAAATGCTTGGAATAAAATCTCTTTACATAAACTTAAACTAAAAAGTTTTTTGCCCTCTGTTGTAAAGTTAGTATTTGGAGATACTTTTTGGAGATATTTTTTTTGGATGGCAATGATATTAAAACTACATAAAAGTGATTATGTATCTCCAAAACAGCTGTAGTTAAGTATTGTTAATACCTACTGTGTAAACAGGCAGCGTAGATCAGTGTGTGTGTGTGTGTGTGTGTGTGTGATTTAAAAATGCGCCATCACTGACCAACTCCTCTCTGACCAGCTCCGCACTCATGATAACTTTATTCTTGGGGCCATCAAGGATGACCTCATAATGGCTGTTCATACAAGGACAGGAAATATTATCAGTGGCACACGACTCTTTAATGCTGCCCCCCACCCCACAGCTTCCTGAAGTTCACACACACTTGATCTTGTTCCAGAAGCCTCCAGGGGGGCTAGATAGGGGATGCTGTTTAAAAGGCACTGACACTAACTCTAAAGCTAGTCTGGTGTCATGGAGCTCCTGTTGAGATGATTCCACAGGAGGGAAATTTGAGTTCTGAACTGCATCCCTTGGGTTCAACCTTTACTGGGTAAGTCTGATTCAGTCACACACTTAAACTGCTGCAATTCAACGAATCCAGAGGCAGGCTGTGAAGTTTCTCAGTGATGTCTGGTTCATTGTTGAACACATAAATGAAAGTTTCTCAAGGTCAGAGAAAATGAACACTGGCCATGAGAAACTAACTTGCGCTTTATCTCAATAGCAGAATCCCAAGTGTTGAATTAACCTCTTAAACTCCAGGCTTATTAAAGCTTATTATCGAGAAGCTGTTATTCTGTCATTAAGTAACTACTCTGAAGCTCATATGTAGGTTATGAGAGTGAAGAATGGAAGTCACAGTTCTTTGGAGTTTAATTGTCCAGCTGGATTTAAATGAGCATTGTAGGGGCTAATTTAACACAGAGGATTGTGCTGTGTAAAAATCAATGCATTGTACAAAGAAAAAACTTCTTACTGATGTTTGAACATCTGATTGAAAACAGATTATTCTTATTGGACTACAGTTTAATTCTATGTAAATGAGATATATTCAAGCTTTTCACCTATGTTAAGAATGTTCATTATAGCTAGTAGCTTAATGTTCATCATTTGATGCTATTCTGTAATGATTCATTTGTTTTTCATTATCCAATTTAACTTTAAATTTAACTTCACAGGTGTAAATAGGTGTAAAAATTTGAGAATCAATTAACCAATCAATCAGTCATTCAGTCAGTCAGGTGGTTTGTGTGATTTTCAGGGCTCAATTTCATTTTAAATGCAACTTCATAGGCATCAATTTGAGTTTTTGAAGATTTTATGTGTTTATGTATATGTCAATCAATCAATCAATCAATCAATCAATTAAAAATGATTCTATTAAAAGTTTTCTTCCTTTTGGATTTCAATTTAAGTGTTTTCAACTTTCAATTTAACTATTTTATATTTTAATCAGTCCATTAGTTGGTCAATGACTTAATTAACCAATCAAGTAATGAAAAAAAAATATTGTTATGGTGTCTGTGCTTTATCAATTGCAACATCATGACCAATTAACCAATTTTGCTGTGGTTTATATGCATTTCAGGGTTGATTTTCACTTTAAATGGAACATCATGTGTGTAAAGTTAAGGCTTATAACATTTTAGGCCCATTTTGAACGTTTTATGTATAGAGTTTGTTGCATTTAGTAGTACTTATCCAGGTACTTATGAGAGTGTGGAGCAGTGGACCCTAGGGGTTTATCTAGTGAAAGCAATCGCTTTTGTCTTTTCCCTCCAGTGTTTTCTATGTGACCCTGTAAGGCCTGGAGAATGTGCCGAGCTCTGAACATCCTACTGGCTCTGCTGAGTCGCTTCCTGTTCGCTGTGCATGGCATAGTGACAGTGTGGCGTGTTGTAGCAGTGAAGGGCGAGCCCTGCTATTGGCTGCTGCTGACGGGTGTGGCACTGCTGGGCGTGGAGATGGCTGTCACCATTAAATGCACACGCAACGCGGAGTGGAAATGGTGATGATGTCACTGGCAGCATGAATGACCTCAAAAGCTATATTAGACAAATAGCCCACTCTACGTGGTCACATACAATATTTATAAGAGAGAAATTTTTGAGCACAGTTGCACTATAGAGATGGTATTTACAGGCTTCAGAATTGCATTATGTAATGCCACAAGGGGCAGAAAAAACAGACACAGCACTAAAAGAATTGAAAGTTAACCTGCTTCTATGTACCAATTTAGCTCAGAAAATGTATAAATATCCAATACTAAGCCACCGGGGCCAGTTTTGCAGTTAGTCTAGATTCAAAAAGGAATGTACAGTGGTGAATCATGACTAGCACTGCAGTTTGATCCGAGACTAGGCTTAATCCATATCTGGGAAACCAGCCCTATATGATAATGATAATAAATGGTTTATACTAGCAAATGAGATGAAAAAAAAGAGATAAGCTAACTCAACCAGTGAAAAAACACTAGGGCCTGGCTTTAAGTAGGTTAACATTAGAATTATGCTCCTTATGTGCTACTTTTAATGCAAAAATCAGGATGGCCTAATACAGATTTTTCAGCTGTGGGAGCACAGCAGACATCTGTTCTCTTCTTTGGCTCTTCACTCTTAAAGCAGTGTCAAAGTAATGCTTACTATTAATATCACTCTTTCTTGCCACACACAGTGCACAGTGTGATGTATCTGTATAGTCTTTACATTTACATACTGAACTCATGATCTTGTTCAGTCACCTCTTAAAGATCTGTCAGGCAAAATCAGTGGAGGCCTCAATGCTAAATAATAGTTCTAGATCATAAATGCCCCCTGCTGTCTTTGGACCAGTGACCTGCTGAGAGCAGATGATGTTGTTAGCCTTCTTTCTCTCTCTCTCTCCTCTCTCTCTCTCTCTCTCTCTCTATCATTGCAGTTCCTTGACTTCATCCTTTATTCTCTTTCTGTCTTGTGTGCAGACACACACACATATGCACACACACACACACACTTTGAAGTCTCTGTGCTCTTCAGAGAGGGTTGGCCGTGTCAGTAGGGATTTGCATAGCTGATGGGAGTAATTTGCAGGCTGAACTGAGTCCCTTCTGGCAGCGGTCACAGCCTCTGTGGTGTAGCCCAGTGTTAATGTCACCCATTTTCTTTTCAGCTTTAAGCCTTTATGGATTTGAGTCAATCAATCAATGAATCAATTAATGAATCAATCAACCAACCAACCAACCAATCAACTAAACAATCAACCATTTTTTAATGTTATAGTTGATACACTTCTGTAATAATTCATTTGCTTTAAATTCAACTTCACAGGTGTAAATAGGAATAAAGATTTGAGATTCAATCAACCAATCAATCAGTCATTCAGTCAGTCAGCCAATCAGTCAATCAATAATTAAAAATGTGATTGTTATGGTTTGTGTGATTTCAATGTAACTTTAAATGCAACATCATTCAATCAATCAATCAATCAATCAATCAATCAATCAATCAATTAAAATGATTATGTTATAAGTTGTCTGCCTTTGAACGTCAATTTATTTATTTTTTAACATTTCAATATAACTTTATATTTATATTTTAATCAGTCCATCAATCAATTAATGATTTAATTAATCAATTCTGTGCTTTTTAGGCTTCAATTTAAGTTTTATAACTTTCAATTTAAGTTCATAAATATAAATTTAAGAAAATGTTATATATCAGTCAATCAGTAACTTAATCAATCAATCAAAAATTGAAAATAAAATTATTATGGCATAGTTTATGTGCTTTTTAGGGTTCAGTTTAACCTCAAAAGCAACGTCATGGGTGTAAATTTGAGTTCTGAAGATTTTATGTATGAATGAATGAATGAATCAATCAATCAATCGATCAATAAATCAATAAATCAAACAATCAGGCAAATAAAAAAATTCAACTATGGTTAGTGCATTTTTTGAGCTTTTTTAAACTTTCAGTTTAACTTCATAGGTGTAAATTTAAGTAAAAAAGTAATATATCAATCATCAGTCAATTAATCAGTCAAAAATCAATTAATCAATCATTTTTTTAAATATTATGTGATGAATTGTGTGCTTTTCAAATGGACAAATGGCTGAATAAATATTATATAATATTGGTGACTTAATAGTTTAACACAAAACTGTTAAAATAGCAACAAAAAAACAAAAAGACACATAAGTAGGTCCTCATTTCAATTCCTTTCTCTTACAACTGCGTATTAGTTTTATATGAATAATTCATTATAGTTCTGAATAACTGTCCTAACCCCTTGAACTCTAATCTGATTATTCAGTTATTAATCTCATTTTATTACTCAATAACCAGTATGAATTATTCAGTGACTATGACAAAACGAATATATAAGTTATGTAGTTATGAGAGTGAGAACGTGAAGTGTGCCTCCCCCCCACACACAGACCCTTGGGATTTAAGGGGTCAAGATTAACATCTGAATAATAATCTGCAGTTTAAAAGTTTAAAGGGCTAAATTAATATTACAACAAGGGGCTCAAGTGCTATAAAACTAAAGAAACTGGGTCAAAGATTAGAGGGACTATACACAAACAAAGCAAGGTGAGCTAACAACATTCAGCAAATCACCTGGAAACTTTGTGTGAGGAAGCCTAGATCAATAGTTTTCTAATGTTAAAAAAGCACTTCCAGAAAATCTTCTCCTCACTCTCTCTCTCTCTGTCTCTGCTCTCTCCATGCCTGGCAGGTTCTCTCCCATGGTCTTCCTTTATCTCAGCACTGTGATTCCCTCTATTTGGTTCCTGGAGCTGAACCTGCTGCAGTCCAAGCTGCCAATCAACTCCTCCTCACCTGATCTTCACCTCCTGTCCCACATCCCCATAGCAGTGGTGGGTACTGTGAAGTTCTTCAGAGAGGTGCTGATCTAGAAACAGTTCTCCACATGTGCCATCTGAGCAGAAATGTATTTTACATGTCTGGGGTTTGCAGAGTGGAGATCTAGGATCAGTTACTCAATAGGTGTTCTCATATTGACCTGGATATGAAAGGCAAAATTGATCTTGGTCTCATACTGCGCAGAATCTGAATCTTAGCCTTTGTCTCTGTCTGCTGAATATCAAACAGCCAGGTCCAGGTGCAGCTGTGCTGCTCTCAAATGCCTCTTGTCTTGACCTTTCTATCGGCTACGAACAGCACAAAGCAAAATTGATCGTCTTATAAAAGCCTTGTAACTCCATTTTTTGGTTTTCTTTTTGTAAGACCTTTTGAAAATGCCAGCCACCCTTTACATTTTTGTGATCATTTTTAGATGATGAGCAATACCACAGGGCTGTGCAGCAAGCAAAGACCACCCTTCATGTATTTATTTTCCAGTTATGCCGAAGACTCAACAACTAAATATATCACATAATGTGTTCACCTGTTATTGCAGCTCCCATTCTTTTTACAAGACTTGCTTTCAGTTTTTCAAAGGAATCTGCAGGAATATTTTCTAATATTTTCACTTCTAAAGTTTAATCGTAGAAGTTGGTTGCAATTTCTGCTTCAAGTAATCCCAACCACATTCAGTGATGTTGAGGTCTGGAGTCTGGGGTGGTCAGTCCATTGTTCTGAGAACACCAGCAGCTTCTTGATCTGTCTACTCACAGTGGAAGGGTGGATAGAAATGCTTGATTTTCTTCCCTCTCTCAAAGATTAAAGCTTGAAGTACTGTTTATCTGATTGAGACAGTTTTGGTGGTCTTCATACAGTCTCATCAGACATATCTACTGGAAAATGAATAACGTTTACCTAATGATAAATTAAGGGTGGCCTCTGAATTTTTAGTACTATACATGGAGGAAAATCTTGTTACATAAGGCTAAGAAAGTCTTTTTCTTGTTCTATATAAAGTTACTATTCTGAAGATACAATGTTTTGCTTTGACAGTGAAAGGGCAGTGGCATAGCTACTGGAGGAGCAGAGGGTGCAGTTGCACTGTGCACGAGAGCCTTCCGTGATTGGGCCCCCTAAAATCTTCATTGGGTCCCTCCAAAATGATAGATTCATTATTTATAATTGTTAAGTATTAAATAGGTAGCCTAATGTTAGCATTTAGGTCACATTAAATGCTAGTAGTACATCTACCTGTTTGACACAATGTTGAGTAAACAAGCAAATGACAGTCATTTTGTTATTCATTGGAAGTAATTTTTAATGGGGTAGGTCCATTCGTTTTTTTGCACTGGGGCCCAATAGATCCTAGTTAGGCCACTGCGAATGTTTCTGGAAAAAATATTGTTCCATATCATCAGTGTTGCACTGTGACTGAAGCTGGATTGATGATTTCACCATATCTTCAGCAGCATCTGCTATTGTTATTTGATTATTGCAAAATTGTCCTGGCAGGATTAGCAAATTGTTTGATTCATAGTGGCTGCCTGTGGCCCACATCTTCCTCAGAAGGTCTTAAAACTCACTTTAGCTGCTGGTATCTCCAAGCAGCAGAAGTCCAAAATCTGAGAATCCTGCCTCCAATTTCTTTTCAGAAGCTGAAGGAGCTAAAACTGTCTGAGACAGATTGGGCGCTAGGCATGCCTGGCCTTTGGCTCTCGCTCTCTGATGGGGTTAGCGTGCAGCTGCTGATATGGCTAAAGCAAAGCCTGGTGAACTCTTACAGCCAGGTCCAGTCCTGAGGGGTACACAGTAGAATCATCTGCCTTGAATAAAGCCCTGCAGATTTAAATGGAAACTTCATCAGTCTGGCAGCTAACACAGGTCAAGAGTTTGGTGGTCTTAGTTGTGTGCATTGTTGTTGTCATATCAAAACCTTGTTTTTTTTTTTTTGCTTTCTATTTTTTCTTCACATTATTTGAAAAAGCAGATTGTATGATCATTTCATGATAAATGGACCAAAAGACAAAGTTTCAAATACTCATAAAATCTAGAAATGTCAATGTATGTTAAATGTAAGAACATGTTTTCTGCGAAAGTTCGTTATGGCGGCACAAGGTTTTGTTATGTAACACCAGTTTCTGGTAGAGTTTGGATGCAGGCCTTGCAGAAAGAGCAAATACATAAGAAATTCCTCACTTCAGTGTCTTGCTGGCTCAGCTGTTACCATGGTGATAACAGTGCTGATGTGTTCTGGTTAGGGCCTAGTGGAGCTGGACCCCGAGAACTGGGCGGCAGGTTTGGAGCAGACCATGCTAATCGTCCTCGTGCTGGGACGTTGGCTCATGCCCAAGGGTGACATGTCCCGCGACCAGCTGTCCCAGCTCCTCATGGTCTATGTGGGACTGGGAGCAGACATCCTAGACATCTTTGACACCTTCAAGGAGCCAGAAGTGAAAACCAACCGTGCTGTAATCATTGTAGGGCTGAGTCTCTTCTCCTGGGCTTTAATGCAGTTTCCTCTGGTACTGACCCAAACAAGTCCTCCTAAGGACCATGGAGAGGCCCAAATGCCAGAAGACAGGACTGGGCCTCCGTTCCTGCCCTGGACGTCTTCTTCCTGCTGCTCCAGTGAGGTCTGGAGCCTCCTGCTCACCGTCGGGCTCCAGGACGGCCCGTTCTTAGTGTACCGCCTATACCTTATGATCCGAGAGAATGTTTTGAACCAGCTGATGATCTTCTTCACTTGCAAAAACATCCTGATTGTCATGCTGGAGGTGTACAGGATCTGTGTAGTGCATTTTGAACTGGGTAGGCCTCTGGGTAGAGCCAGGTCACAAGACACACCTCAAAGACAATTGGAAAATGAAGTTGTGGAGCCCAGCTGTCAGGAGTAGATAAAATTCTCTAGTTCTGGGGTTTTCTTTATAATGTTTTGATCAAAATATATATTTACACAACTTCCCCTTACACCAAATGTTAATTGATCAAGCAAGATATATTCTGTGTCTAGTGTTGTATTAAATCTGCTTCTTCAGTTTTGCGATGTAATGTAAGCATATAGCTTATAGCTAGTTTAGCATCTTGAAACTGCATGTGGAAATGTACCACAAACTATGTGGAGTTCTTAAGAAATCTCCAGACTTGGTCATGTGGGTCCTGACACTGTTATCACTACTGTGGACACTCACCACCCTCCTGAGCTGACAGAAGTTTAAGACTTTGTATGAAACAGCAACATTTTGATGTAGCAAAATCCAATTGGTGAGTTTTCAACAACTGATAGTTTGGCTAGCATAGTTATTAATGGAGGTTATAGGGCTCTGCTTTTGTGATCACAGTGCAAACAGAAAAATGAGGCTTAAAGTCACGGTGCTGATGCGTGTAGGTGAGGCAGATTTATTTTTAGTATTTTCCTGACCAGCAACACCGGCTATAACCCAGTGCAGAGCAGCACAACTATAAACAGGGTGGAGTTAGACTAAATACATTATCAAAAGGTGTGATTAGGCAAGGTTGGAGCAACTGCCCATAATAAGTATTATTACTGTCATTATTATAATTAAAACAATAATGATAATTACTATTATTAGCCTATTATTATTATTTCATTTATATAGCACGTTGCAACTGGAACAGCACAAGTGCTTTACAGACCTAGAAATAACACAACAGCAGATCAAGTAGAAAAACAATGAACTACAAACAAACAAATAAACAATGAAAAATTGAAATAAACAAAGAAAACCAGATCAGATAGTAAATAAGGAAATTTATTAAGTTTTTTTTTTTGCCAAACACTGTAGTTTAAGTTTATAAATGTCAAACATTTAAGTCGATAAATGTCAAGAAACATATTAATGTTTCCAAAAATTCCATTAATGGCACAGTGTGTGTAATGACTTGGTACATTAATACGGTACCAAGTTATTAGCCCCCTGTGGCGTCACTCCACCCATATTGTCGCAATTGTTATCATTTCTGACTGCCAAATTAGTAACATGCTGGAGTTAAGATTGCACTGGAACAAAAATAGAACCCTAAATGTTGTAGCTGATGTGGTCTAAATCAGCAGTTTCTCTGGCCACCATTATCGAGATTTTGTCAGTTGCATTCTGATTGGCATTCTGCATGTCTGTGTCTACGCACTTCAGTGTTTTTATCATTTGGAGGGGAAACATGGTTCTGTTTCCCAGCTAAACTCTAGTCAGCAACAGTAAATAGCAGCTTTCTTCAGACATTGTGATGAAAAATGAGCCTTTCAGAGCAAGTTATATATTTTCACGCCACACCAAAACATTGGGCTGTGATTGGTGGCTTTGCAGTGGAATGCATAAGACTCTCTGCTGATAGGCAGAAGTCTGGTTTTCGACACTTTTTCATGACTGATCATGATGGGGTGGGCTATAACTCATGAAATGTAGGGGACAATAGGCCCACTCACATTTCTTACACAAACTCACTCACACAACCCAACAGGTGCAGTATCAGTGTTTTCAACAGGTAAGTCTGGAAGATATAGCACAAACAACCAGTGAGTTTCAGAGGCTTACAACCCTCCCCACTCTACTCTACTATGTATAAAAACAGACAAACACATTATTGACCATGCTATAGTATGGACGAAAGGCTTCAAAATGACTGCTTCTACTGTTTTAGCTATGCAACACTACTTTCTTAGAAAAGCAATTTTTTTAAATATCATACAGTGTCAGAAACCATGTGACTGCACAATGCTATGCTGGTGGCTGTAAACATCCATTACAAACCTCAAACCTCAAACAACAAACACCTCAGCAGATCAGGTGCATTTTGGGTAAGGGGGGAAGCTGAGTACATTTGATGTTTGGCCAAACCATCACTTTAGGATCAGGGACTGGGGAGGGTGGGCTGGCCATAGATTTAAAAGGGTAACATCTACTGGAAGGATAGATAAACCGAGAGCCAGTGAAGTGCCCAATAAATCAGTTGCTCTTTTACAGGAAATCCTCTAATAGAAGAGAGGGGTGAGGCAGTGTGCTGTCCTCACATTCTCATCTGCTGACTCTTGCATCACCAAAGCTATTAACACAACGAATGCTCATCAAAACATTTCAGTTCTGTATGTGACATTCCAGTGTTCTGATTCTAATGTTCTAATGTTCTTATGTTCTCAGCCATTGTGTTCACTGTTCTATTGAGTCTAGCGTGAAGGTCACTGGAGACACTGAATAAAGCAAACTGAAGACTGGACGTTTTTAAAAATCCTCTCAGTGGACTTTCCATCTTGGCTATGCCAGTCCTATAGGATCAAAGGTGTGACATATTATGCAAGTAATATTATGAAAGATTTTGTATTATTTGGAAATCATATTAGCCTGTTCTTCTATTGAGACATTTGTGTTGACTTGTAATTTGTTTTGACTGACATTGATTTATGATTTGGCTCTTTAATAACAATGTTGAATCAAAAATAAAGATGCCAAAAAGTGTTTTTTATTTGCCCATGCAAAGAACCATTCAAATGGTTCTTCTTTATGACGAAAGCCCAGTGTATGGTTCTTTGAGAACCACTATAAAAATGGTCCTATAAAGCACCAAAAGGGGTTCCGCTATTGTTACATTATTGAGTCAAAGAACCCTTTTTCAGTACTATATAGAGCCCTCTTTGCTAAGAGTGTATTATACTGTTGGCTTGCTACATGTGAAATGTTGTGACTTTGCTAGCAAGCAATAAGGGGTGAAAGGGGGGAGTTAGACCCCCCTGCTGTAAAACAGTTCATATCTCTCTGCAAAGATACTCATGCTAATATAAAATGGACAGCACAACTGCAGTTTTCTTGATATCAAACAATCAGGTACAGCTGCCACAATAAAAATAGCTTTTAAACATGATAAAAACACTTTTATACACTGTTAGAAATAAAGGTTCTGTGCAGGTACATTTTTTCTTTCAGGTACAAACAGTGTAAATGTAGTCTCAGAGATACAACAGTGGTTTTAATGTTCAGTATTGCACCTTAAATACGTTTTTCCAGGTGAAAAGTATGTATTTGTACCTTTTCATAACATAACATATTAAAACAGAACAATAAAGTAAAAAGCCTGGAGACGAGACGGGATGTGTGGAGTCAATACAGCTTAGAAAGTATAATTTCAATGGATTATGGTACAGTTGTGTTACCTGACTAAAAGTACTGAGATGTACCCTTGAGGGTACCACCCCACTGACAAGATGTGTAGGCAATTTCATACCTTTATTTCTGAGAGTGTAAATGTTAAGTTGCTTGCTTACCTACAAAGACAAAAATCCAGTTTACTTCCTGTTTTGTAAATTATACTCCATATATTACATTATCATTTCTGATGAAAAGAAATAGATTGCATAGTTCAACCGAGGTGGCCTTCAAAATGGTCAGAAATTGTGATGTGCAGGTATTTTAAAAAATCATATGCATGTATTTTTGTTCTTCATAGTACAAACAATGTAAATAAAGGAACAATAATGGTTTTCAAGTCCATCTGTGAACCTTAAATGAGTGTTTCCCAGGGGAAAGGGATGTATTTGCACATTTTCATAACCTAATGTTGGAAAAATGAACAATTGCAATAAAATATGGTACATTTGTGTTCCTTAACTAAAGGTACTGAAGATGTACCTTTGAAGACGTACACTAGTGACAGGAAGAATACGACCCCAGTTACTTTTTTCTGAGAGTGTATTGTGAAAAGGGGTTCATATTTTAAAACATTAAGTAATATAAAAACTCCAAAGTAATTTGAAGGGAATGAAGATGACAGTGTTGACAGTCTCCCTTACAGCCATGAGATGGCAGTGTTAGCATGTTCTTTAAGCTGCCATGGGAAAGGCTTCTTGTGAGCATGGCTGAACTACACGCTGGCTACCACCAATCATCAGGTGTGATTAAAGACCTGCGCTACCGAGTGCCAAAAGCTTCACACTCGCAGAGCTTTTATGTGAACAATACCAACCAAATGATTTGATGAGGTTCCTCTGAAGACACACAGAAAGACTCACTCAAGGTCACTCAGGTCCTGCAAACACAATCTGAGCTGTTGCATCATTCTCAGGATCCAGTCTGGAACCCCCCTACCCTGCCCTGCCCACTCTTCCAGAAGCATTCGTAAAGAAAAAAAAAATAAAGCACTGACAGGAACTCAAAATAAAGTTTCCTCAGTGGGTCTTGGTTTGGATGTACAGTTCTAGGAAAAGCCTCTATTATATAGAACTTTCACATTACGTGGAGGTTTTTCAAAGTTATTCATACATCGTTTACAAAAATGCTTCCATGGAAAACATCCATGGAAAAATTCTCAAGGGAACCTAAAGAAAAAATTTCTTCTTCCTTGCATCGCTGCAACGAACTCTTTCTGAAACAAACATATGGAGAGTTTCACGTAGCTGGGATTTCATGAGTTGTTCCTGTCAATCAAGCACCTAACTAAGCCCTGCAGTTCCGGTTTCAAATGAAGATTAATTAGGGAGGTAGTCTGAGTGTGTCATTTATTCTAATACTGTACAACATCACTCTGAATAGAAACATATATCACACTGCCTTGTTTGCTGCTTGTTTTGACATGCACTCAATAAGCTGTCTAAAATAAAAGAGATAGCACGAGAAAGAGAGAGAAGGATGCACCTCGAAGAGCCTCATAGCCTTATTATCAGTGTTATTCTGTCAGAGTATTCCTGCCTGTAATGACAGTCTTTCTTCTCTCTTTCTCTCTCTCTCTCTACCTCTTTCTCTATCTATCTCTCTCTCTCTCTCTCTCTTTTGCTCCATTGCAATGAAAAAGCAACAAACAACGTCCCCAGAGAACAACAAAACATAATGAAACACTCACTCCCTCTCTCTCTAAGTACACATTCTCATTTCCAAAGCCCCCCACTTATTGT